CTCTGGAGAAGGATTATGAAGAGGTGGGTGCTGACTATGTGGGGGAGGATGAAGAGGGAGAAGAATACTGATTTTAATCCAGAGTAAATTTTTTTTTCTGGTTTTCAAAATGTGGCTTTTTGCTTTTTTTGAAGTGAAAATAAATGTATCAGAAATATGACTACACTAACAATGTTACAATTTGTGTGACCAAATTGTGAACAATTTTAATACTCCATATTTCACAAAAACAGACCAAAATAACATATCTTTCACTGTGTGCTGAGTACCATGGCAAATTTACAAATCAAACCAAATCTAAAACCTTAGTTGAACATGTAAACATTTCAAAAACATTTTTACATTTCTCTTATCACAGTGCCATTTTAAAAAGTGTTTATATTCATAGCAAAAGAGTACAATGTGCTTTTGGTGTTTTAAGATAGTTTCTTTCTCTGGTTTCTGCCTGCTTTAAACACACTCTCTCCCTCTCTCTCTCTCTCTTGCACCTCCCCCCACTATCCTCTCCCATGAGGAATGCAAGCTATGAAAGGGCTCCTATGTCAATTTCTTTAAACCATTCAGCTGTGACTCTGAGAATTAACGCAAGAGAAAAAAAAAAACGACGGACTCTGGCTGGTGTTGCTTGTGTAGCTCATACTCAGACCATAGCCTGCAGCAACAATAGAATCCCAGTTCCGTTTTGTATGAATCACTGCACTATGATTCAAACAGAGTGGCTGAAAAGCTGCATTAAAACTGAGCTCTACATTTCTTGGAAACTCTCTTTTTTAATCTTTTCACAATCTGTGATACATTATTGTAATCACCACGCTGAAGTTTCTTTGTGTTCCATATTATTATATTTGATGAACTTTGGATTATCTTACTTGATTGTGTGTATGAATGTTTACTTATCATCACTATTTTTGTTACCATTAAAGCATTTTCCTTTTACATATAATAACCCAAATAAACATGTCAGTCTTTCCATTTTGCTAGAGTAATCTCACATGATTATTTATTTAGTGGTTCAACACAGACAAGTCTTTGTGTGTGTGTGGGTGCAGATGACTGCATAAAATAGCATTATCAATCTCCTTGTCTACTGATTTTGTTATAGTATATGTATGTTAAGAAATGTGTGGGGGTGGAGTATTTGCATGCTGCAATATAATCAGCTCATTTAAGTTATGTGTTAAAAAAAATCTAACTAATTTTGAAACTCTAAATGGTGCCATTGCAAACAGACACAAACACACTGAGAAAAAGAAGTAGGTGGAAAATTGTTTTAAAAAAAAGAAAAAAAAAAAAGAAGAAGAAGCAGCAAAGACTGTAGACAGGCTGATGATGGTGTCTGAAGGGGAGCTGTTGAGGGAAGCTTTTCTGGCTTAGATGAGTGGACAGATCCAGAGAAAAGAGATATGAGTTAGAACAAAACAAAGAAGTAATTAGTGAAGAAAGCTAAACTAAACTAGAACAAAATATGTGGGATACTATATCTACTAGAAAGCTCTGACAACGAATGACTCTTATAGATACTCATCAGACAGACTGCTGGTTAGTGGACTGATGCGATCAAAGGTGTGCACAATGATTACAGAGGATCTGGGAAACGTAACGAGCCACACCTGCTACACACACAGACAGAGACGTGGCATGCAGAGAAAACAAACGGGAGAAAGGAAAGAGAACACAGGAAAGTCAGAAGGGGAGTGAGGTGTATATAACAGTAAGAAAAAAATGTTTTTCATAATGATCTTGTGTAGATGAATGTAAGGAGATATGCCATTAAAATACGTATTAAGGACTCCCCCCCCCCCCCCTCTAACTGCTGTTCCCTCCCACAAATGAGCTATGCAGCTGCCTGCTGTGGTTTCCTGCCTACCCCCTCCACATCCTTCTCTATATAAACTCCGAGTCTCCCTTTTTTCTGCACTTCTGCCTTGTGTCTGAATCCTCAACGTCGGTCGAAGGACAAGCAGACAAAATGGTGAGTAACTGTCTGGCTGATGACGTAGCCTTGAAATTTTCATTCTCTCTCCCCTCCTTACTCCTTTGTTTCTGTTGCATGGGTTAAATATCTAGGCTTTTTTTTTTTTTTTTAAATGCTTCAAGTCTTCAGTGTTGTGTGGGAGTTTACTTAAAATCAGATTATATTAAGTGATCATACTTTTGAGCTAAATTTATACAGAATTTTTTTTTTAGGGCTTGTCTGAGAATTCGGTGAGAACAATGCACTAGTGTACTTGCGTTTGACTAAAGGAGAAGTCATTTTTGTACTCTTGGGAAATCTAGGTCAGATCAGACAATGAGTTGAACTGTTGTCCTTTTCAAACCTCAATGCAGAGCTTTTAGTATAAAAAGAGAAAATATATAAAGTCTTTAGTTCCTAAACAAGCACAGGATACTGTTTTCACAACTACAAAGTAGTGAGCAGGGTAATCGTGGCAGTGGGGGATGGATTAAAATGAACAGGGAAAAAGAGGAGTGGTCTGGCCTACAAGTGAGAGTTAGTTCGCTGCCATTTTGCAGCTGTTAAGAATTTTAGGGTTGAAGGATGTGGAGAGAAAGAGAGGGTGAGACAGTCATCCCTTCCCGTTACACGGCGCTATGGAGCCGGACAGGATAGGGGAGGGGAGACACAAAATGGGGAGGGATGAGGAAAGGGAGGAGATTCAGGATTAAGAGGTGGGGGTAAGGTTTTCTTCTTGATGCATGACCTTCCTGTTTGCTATATACAGGATTGTATGTTGCCTTTTTTTTCCCTCCCCCAAGTTATAAAACGATCTTTTAGGCAAATGAGGAGCTTGCAGTTATTAACTGTATATCCTGTCCATTCAACTGTTAAAAACCCAGAGTTCAGACACTGCGTTGCTTGTATTATATGCACCACTGAAAGCTTAAACATTAGTGTTCTGATACACTTTTCAGTAAGCAAGCTTTCTCTCCTTACTGAGGTATTTCCTTTTCACAAATTGAACATTGTCTTGTAAATTAATGGGGGGTAGACTAAGGATCTCTAACAGTATACACTCCTATAAGTCCCCCTGCCCACCCACCCCATTAGTACTCATTAAATAAGTGCCCCAGATATTGCTGTGCCTTTCAGCAGTCATAGCTAGTTCAAAATATGATAACTGGTGTCAGGCAGTACATGTGTACATAAACTTGCTTTGTCTAATTTTTTCCCCCTCCCCCAGCGTGAGTGTATTTCTATGCACGTTGGCCAAGCTGGAGCCCAGATGGGCAATGCATGCTGGGAGCTGTACTGCCTGGAACATGGGATCCAGCCAGATGGACAGATGCCCTCTGACAAAACTCTCGGGGGAGGTGATGACTCCTTCAACACCTTCTTCAGTGAGACGGGGGCAGGAAAGCATGTCCCCAGAGCAATCTTTGTTGACCTGGAACCAACTGTCATAGGTCAGTAACGTGCAAATAAACAAGTACTTGCATTGTCATGGCTAATCTGAAAACTGATAAGATGGATGTAAACAAAGAAAAATGACTCCAGATGTTTGGGTTAAATTTCATTTTCTTGCAAATTGTCATTGTGGTTTTTTTTTGTTATTATTTCTAAACTGTCACTGTCTGCAAAATAAAGGGACTCCTCTTAATTTGATGCAAGAATACAGGACACTAGCTCGTGCACTCCTAACGTTTTTTTTTTTTTTTTTCCTGTTTCTTGCAGATGAGGTGCGTACAGGAACCTACCGTCAGCTTTTCCACCCTGAGCAGCTGATTACAGGAAAGGAGGACGCTGCCAACAACTATGCCCGTGGCCACTACACCATCGGCAAAGAGATCATAGATCTGGTCCTGGACAGGACACGTAAACTGGTGAGACTTTGACAGTGTCAAAGCTATAGATTTGGAGTGTATTAAACATTTTGCTCAACTAAATGACTTAAGGGTTTTAATAATAATGAACTAATACATTTTCAGGCTGATCAGTGCACTGGCCTGCAGGGATTTCTCATCTTCCACTCTTTTGGTGGAGGCACTGGCTCTGGTTTCACCTCCCTCCTGATGGAGAGGCTCTCTGTTGATTATGGGAAAAAATCAAAACTCGAATTTGCTGTTTACCCAGCCCCCCAGGTTTCCACGGCAGTGGTGGAGCCGTACAACTCCATCCTGACCACCCACACCACCCTGCAGCACTCCGACTGTGCCTTCATGGTGGACAATGAGGCCATCTATGACATCTGCCGCAGGAACCTTGACATTGAAAGACCCACCTACACCAACCTTAACAGGCTGATTGGCCAGATTGTGTCCTCAATTACAGCCTCACTTCGCTTCGATGGAGCTCTGAATGTTGACCTGACAGAGTTCCAGACCAACTTGGTGCCTTACCCCCGTATCCACTTCCCTCTGGCCACCTATGCCCCTGTCATCTCTGCTGAGAAAGCCTACCATGAGCAGCTGTCAGTAGCTGACATCACCAACACCTGCTTTGAACCAGCTAATCAAATGGTGAAGTGTGATCCTCGTCATGGTAAATACATGGCCTGCTGTCTGCTGTATCGTGGTGATGTGGTGCCCAAAGATGTCAACGCGGCCATTGCAGCCATCAAGACCAAACGCACCATCCAGTTTGTGGACTGGTGCCCCACAAACTTCAAGATGGGCATCAACTACCAGCCCCCAACTGTGGTTCCTGGTGGAGACCTGGCCAAGGTCCAGAGGGCAGTGTGTATGCTAAGCAACACCACAGCCATCGCTGAGGACTGGGACCGACTGGACCACAAGTTTGACCTGATGTACGCCAAGAGAGCCTTTGTTCACTGGTATGTTGGGGAGGGCATGGAGGAAGGAGAGTTCTCAGAGGCCAGAGAAGATATGGCTACTCTGGAGAAGGATTATGAAGAGGTGGGCACTGACAGCGTGGGAGAGGAGGATGAAGAGGGAGAAGAATACTGAAGAATCAAACATCATCACGCATTCCAAATGTTGTGAAAGTAACACATTCCCACCAAAATCCACACATGTGGTGATTCGTCAGTATTGTCAATAAAAGTTCTCAAAAGTGTCGTGTGAAGTTGTGGACATTCTTGATCTGCTTAACCAGGCTATGTTAGCAACTGTATAACTTAAGTGTGTAATACTGCAATAGTTGAGTACTTTTCTAGTTCAAATGCTAATAATTGAAGTTATCAATTATACATACCGGTATTTATTTTTAACAAGTTTCGGGCTTTCAAAGTGGAAGAAGATATTTTATCAGCATTATGGTGAGAGGTAGTATTAGCAAATCCAGAGACATCTGAAACGCTGTTTTGACACATTACATAATTTATCATATACTTCTTTTTAAACTTGATATACACAATCCTGTTTTTGTTTTTCTTCCCATGTTTCTGGGCGGCTCCACTTCACTTTTAGAAAAGAAATTCCAGGCTCTGTTCAGTTTCCTGCTTCTCTTCATGCCAAGCTGAGTGACCAGTAGGCGTTTACGATTTACTCCTGCTTCCTGTACTTTTTCCTTAGGCCAGCAGGTGAAAACAAAGGGACACGGGTAAAAAGTCGAGGTTGGTGTAGGTGAAATTGTCTGCCCTTCAAGTTTTTATGTCCTCCGATCAACATAATAGTCTTATATTGGACCAAATTATTTTCCTGTGTAATTTATTCTCCTAAACAAATCGATTTGATGTGAAGTCGAGCCCACTTCAATTACGATCCAAGGTCCCCCATCAAAGATCAGATTAACAAAAAACACATCAGATTAACAAATAACTTAAATTACAAAATTAATCTAATTTATTCATTAAACTATTTTAAATGCCAATATCAAGTCCTAAAAGTTTCATATATTTTTTCACTCTTATTTACAACATTCACTTAAAAAAATATCTAGATCTCTTTCTTTGACATCCCACCTGCAGTACCCATCTGCCCACCAGGAGGCGGTCTTCTACACTTTACTATTCATAACATGGCCTAGGAGGTTTGATTACACAAAGCTGAGCAGTCCACATAACTCTGATATTACATGATGTCCTCATGGTGTGATCCAGATCAATGACTCTACCGATTAATCACGCGCTAAACTGGAAACCTAATTTCTATAATCTACCTATATGATTACCTACTAATAAGAAAGTATAGCGGGATGTCAGAATTACAACTGGACTGTAGTAAAATCGTTTCCTCGTTTCCCCGCTCGACTGTAAATTACTTAGTAATTTCTGCGATGATTGGGTGATCTATATTTAAAAAGAAAAAATAGTTTCTAGGTTTTGGCATACGTTTATGTTTAGAGGTTAAAGCATTATCACGGAGCAACAGGCGGGCGCTGAGGCATGCAGGGCGGGCCCGGTGACGTTTCCAAACGCTGGCATTTTCTAGGCGCTCTATTTTTTTCTATGCGCTCGCGGTGACGTAGCGCGTGGGGCAGAGGAGCACTAGGGACAAACACAGCTGACTGCGCGCATGCTATCTCGGTGGGGACTTCAGCGCAGACCCTAACGCTAGGTTACAGTCATATTGGCTTGGTGGAAAATATTTGCGGTGAAGAAACAGGCCGAAAACAGGGGAGGTGCCTGTACGGCTGTCAACAAAGGAGAAGAAAAAGAGGGGGAGTGTAGTCCAGAAGGACCGCTATAACAACTAATTCATTGTCGCTCCAAACTGGTGGACAGACGGCTAAACTGCTCACTCATTAGGCCAAAACACTCCTAAGGTAGGTCCATTGCCGAGGTTAGGCGTAACAACTTGTGCCTATCCAAATAGGTGCTGCAATTTATGACAGATGTCCAACTTTACCATAAAAGGAGATGTGCTACCGAAATACCAAATGATGTTAATTGTGCCCTAATGTCAATACTCGAATAGCACAGCACCTGTGCCTCCAAGTTCATCTGTCCCTGTATTTAAGCGTCTATAAGGCCTGCAGTCATGTCAGCACTGCAGCAGTTGACAAATGCCTTGGCGCTAGAAATAACATAGTAATGAGGCTTGTATGAGTGCATGGCTCATCCTGAAGGGGCAAAGAAAGTTAGATTTAGTTGTTTCACCTCAGTTCGGAAGTCCCCTTCAGCCCCGAAACGATTACAAATGAGACTGGCATCTCGGTTAGGGTGTCGTCTGTGGCTATTATAGAACAGCTGACTGTGCCACGATCCTTTTTTTTTTTTTTAAAGATAACAGGCTTGATGCTTTCATGTGACCGTTCTGAAGTAGTTTATAATAGGTAAATTTATGATTCAGTGAAGTCTGCTGATTAGGTTTTTATTTACTCTTTCAAACTCAATATATTTGTTGGAAATGTCATATTATAAAAGGACCTAAAGGAGTTTTTTTAGACTAGTTAAGAGAATGTATTTGGCTTTAAAATATCTATAGATTAAAGTGTCTGTCCTTTTATGCATGCATCACATACAAGTTGCTAATTGTTTAGTTAAAAATGAAAACATTACTAACCATACTGCTTCCACACTAATGTCATATTCTAGCTTTAAAGTGCTGATTAATAATACTTAACTAAAGTTAAAAAGCATTCTTAAAACTAATGTAGCTTTAAACTCAGTGTAGTTCAACTCATGAGTCCTACAGTAATACAGCTGTTGAACAGTTTGAGCAGCACTGTCTTAGTGAAATCATAATTTAAGTAAATTTAGGAGGATATAATTTTCCAGCTTCTAAATACATGTTTTAGAGTCGTTTTACTGTTTCCAATAGATCCATTGAGCTCATATAACCTCCACTACAATGGTGATTAAGCATTATTTAAAATCTACTTGGTTCCATAGATAAAAAAGTTTTTTTTAGTCAAGAGGAGCATTTTTTTAAATGATGCAGAAGCTGTACATCCACACACATTGGTGCTTTTAATTTCTGACCAAACAAAACTCGTATTTGTATTTTTCTTTCAAAGCGTGGTGTTTTGAGGAGTTACAGGAGGTGACATGGTGGACTACTATAGCATCTTGGGAGTGTCCAAAACAGCCACTCAGGATGACATCAAGAAAGCGTAAGTATCCTGGGACTATTTCAAGTGTTAGAAAATATAGTCATAAGTAACAAAAAGTTCACTTGAGTAAAAAAAAATATATCTGAAGATATATTTGAAGTGTGAAAACCTACTTTAGATAGCAAGGTTATGTAAGCACTGAAAAACTGAGGCCACTGCCAGTATGTGCTTTTGTGTGTTTATTTTTTAAGAGTTTACAAACTTTAGACAAACTTTGAGTTTAATTTCAATCCAAAAAAAATTGCTTTTCAGGGCAAAAATGTATTATCATATTATGTCACTAAATAAGCTCATATCTCATAGATAGAGGTTTAAGAACTAGACTTCATTATGTGTGTGGTTATTTATATATAAGCATGGATGTTTGATGTTGTTTGTGTTTTCAGGTACCGGAAATTGGCCTTGAAATGGCATCCTGACAAAAATCCAGACAACAAGGAGGAAGCAGAAAAAAAGTTCAAAGAAGTCGCTGAGGCCTATGAAGTCCTGTCTGACAGTAAGTCACCATAGATGACAACTGGTCTAATATGTACAAGGTATACTATAGATGTATATGTGTACGGATATTGATTTCCGTGGGTAATTTTTTCCTTTTTGACAGAGAGCAAACGTGATGCATACGACAGATATGGAAATGACAGAATGCGACACACAGGTATAAATATATAAAAAAATCTGTGATATTGTTGCATCCATTATAGTAATCATTAGCAATCTTCTAATTGCTACAGTTTAAGAAAAAAATGTGTTTGGGTAATTTTCTTACTACTATTACCTACCCTTCCTACTTGCTCCTTCTCCTTTACGTTTGTCCTAATTTTTCCTTTTCGCTCCTGACTGTGACATGTTGGTTTCTCAGGTTCCTCCAGCTCAGACTTTACAGAAATGCCCGGCTTCACCTTCACATTCCGCAGCCCAGATGAGGTGTTCAGAGAATTCTTTGGTGGACAGGATCCCTTTGCCAGCTTCTTCGGTAAGTCAAACATATATTGGGGTGGGGTTCATCTGTTGTTAGTTCAGAAACTAATACTAACATTTATTTATTCAGTCTAGACGTAAAATAAAAAAATATGATGAGAGTAATTTGTCTTAGGTCTACTGTAACTGAACTAAATTAAATGCTACAATATATTCCAAAGTTACAAATATAAGAAGCTTCAATAGCTTGAATATAGAGGAGTAGCTCAATAATAAATATCCAGAATATTACAGAGATTAAATATAAATGGTCGACATTCTACTCTAAACTCAACAGTAAAATCTCTAAACTGCTATTTGTTATTTTCACTGCAAAATGGAGTAACTATTGCACTATGTACTGTACATTAGAGCTGTACAGGCAAATAGCCACATGCAGGAATTGTTTCCTGCTTCATTTAGTGGTGCATTTGGGTAATCTCAGTCTGTCTCTGAACGCACTCCTGTGACTGGCCAGCACGTCATGGACTGGGTGGGAGGTATTGTCCATTACTGTTGTATTTTTATGTACTTGCACGTCTTTGTCTCTCACTCAGATGACTTCTCCTCATTTGGAAGCTCATCGTCTCGTCTCAGCCCGGGGCGATTCTTCTCTTTTCCATCAGGAGGAGGTAAAGAAGTAAATATTATAAGTAAACTGTTTGCAGAGGATTGAAGAGGATTTTCCCATGTAGTTTTTCCTTTCAGCTTTACTTAACTGGTAATTAATGCAATTCTACTCAGTTAAACTTCTATTATAAGCTGTTTCTATCATCAGTGGTTGCCAGGAATGTCTCACAGAAAGAGGGTCTATAACTTTTTGTGCTGTATGTCATCAACAAATGCCAGATTAATGATATTTGATATTGTTAATATCAAGAGTTTCACTTGTTAGTTTAAAAAATACTTAAAAGAATTAATATCAGGAGATGGTTTAGATACATTAAAAACTAATATTGCTTTCCTCTCCTCTTTTTGATTGTTTGACTCTCTACAGTTGAATTCTCCTCTTTCTCCACTACCTTGGGTGGTCTGGATGGGATGGACAGCATGGGTGGAGGGATGGGCAACTTTAGATCAGTTTCTACTTCCACTCGCATCATAAATGGAAAACGCACCACCACCAAGAAGTATGGAATTCCTTATCAATTCCTATTATGCAGCAAAGGAAGTACATATTCAAGTGTATTATCTTCAAAGCAAAACGTGAAAAATTAATTGAAGAATATATAAAATTTAGCACCAGTAAACAGTTTCACATTCCAGCGTTTTAAGAATTATCTTGATGTGACTGTGGTTGCTGAATAAGAGCAGTGCATATGTGCATATTTGAATTGTATTTGTCTCAATAGATTGTCCCTAGAAGCAGATCGTCATCTATTGTTTGGGAATACTTTAGATTTAGAACAAAGAACAAATCATATGCAAAGGGCACCATAAAGTTGTGTTGGAACTACAAAGCAACAAAACGAATGTGTACACCTACCTAAAAATGCAGCATTCACACTGCAGTATGAAAATTGCATGAAGAGCCTGAAAGGCATTGTAGAGGTTGATGACATGTCTTGTCCAATATCAATTCAGAAATCCATAAAAGTGAGGCTGTACATTGCATACAGCATATTATTTAAGCTCACAAAGATGTAGTGGAAATACCAACACAGTCTCATTTCGTTTCTCTATAGATCTGTGTTTTTCTAAAGGGGTAAAACTTGCACTGTATGCAAAATGCCAGAGGGTAAGCCTAATTAACAGGAATATAGTGCAATGCCAAAGTGAAAGCAGTGCCCTCGTTATCAGTTTATATTCTTCTTCTTCTGAAATGAATCAAAGGGACTGTCTACAAAGGCTTGTAGACAGTCCAAAGCATAGATGTGAAAGCCTTCTTATCTTTATGTGGCAGTGTATTTGTGTCACTAAAATGAAAGCGAGTAATTGTGGTAGATAATCATGATTATAGTGTTAATCAAAATATTTTTTGGCTGTAATTTTTCAGCCCTAAGACTGGTTACGCACTTGCACAAACACAGAGGCACTAGAAATGGTGGTGGCTTTTAAATAATTCCACTTATGTCTGTATTTGTCTTTCCTACAGGATAAAGGAGAATGGGCAGGAAAGAATAGAGATTGAGGAGGATGGTGTGTTGAAAAGTGTTCTAATTAATGGTGAGACAATGCTGACTGAATAAATGAATTGAGATTAAAAACAAAAAACAAAAAAAACAAAAAAAACCCAACTTTTTTCTGGTGCTTATTTGCTTTAACCTGAAAACACAAATTCTGTGTCAACTTTTTCTAATACAACCACAATTGTGTCAAAATGCAGTGCTGCTTATTCAAAAGATTTCAATGCAAGCAGGGAAATGTGTTAAAAAACAGACGAGGTTTCAGTTTGTATTTAATCGATCTTATTCTTATCTTTAATATTTTTGTTATTTTTAATTCAGGTTTTTTTGAGTCAGTTCCCAGAGTAGGTTTGCTTTTTAAGTTTAGTTTAATTTTTAACAAGGTTTAGTTTTAGTTTAGTTTTTATGACTTTCAGTGTTAGTTTAATCATATTCAATTGAGGACATGTGCCAAAGGCAAAATTTCAGGAAAATTAGTATAGATATTACAATAAAAACACTGAACCTTTTGAAAGCAATTAACTCTTAGTCTTGTAGACATCCGAAGTCTCAATAAATAACTTCATAAGTGCCTCATCAGCACCGATGAATGTAATTTTACAAGTTTAACAAATACTAAGGATATTTGCTTGATATTTTTCATAAAATAATTTCAGTTAGTTTTATTTTTTCTTTTATAGTCTTAATCATGTTTTTTCAGTCTGCGGAAATGTTTTTCACATAGTTTTAGTTATTGCTTTAGTTTGTTTAACTATATGTACCTTGGCTTTAGTTTTTGTATTACCGCTTGACCTGAAGTTTTTGCTTGGTTATGTGTTTTTCTGTATGTCTAAGGTTTTTGCTTTGTGTTGATTGTGCAGTGAGACAGCTGTCTTGTTGTTTTTGTTTTGATCGAAGGTGTGGAAGATGAAATGGCCCTTGCTCTGGAGCTGAGCCGACGAGAGGAGCAGGCCACTCCAAAGCCACGACTCCAGAACAAAACCGCTGAGTCAGACAGATCCCGCCTGAGCCCTTACACTTCACCCACGCATCGTTCATTTAGCTCGGCCCCATTCTACCACTACGGGGTTGCGGGAGGCAGTGAGGATGATGAGGAAGATGAAGACCTACAGATGGCTTTGGCATGCAGCCTGTCAGAAATGGAAGCCCAGCAGAGAGCTGCTGCTAACGACTACATATCAGGTGCTCGGGGTGGGGGCAGAGCTGTCAGTGACAAAACTGGAGGCCGTTTAGATGGCGGGATTGCTAAGGCAAAGCATTTGAATGTACAGAGCAGGGAAGAGGTTGTTGCAGGGCAGAAATGTAAAGAGATAAAATTGGGTTCAGTAGCTGGAGATGGATGCAAAAGTGTGGCAAAGGGTACAGTGGAGCTAGGCTCCTCCCCTGAGTCATCCACAACTGCCAGCACTACACCCCTAAGCCAGTGCAGTGAGGATAAGTTTAAACCTGTGATAAAAAGTGATTGCAGCGTGAAAAAGAAAAAGAAGTGTGGGTGTGTTGTCTCCTAATGATGTGTTTTTGTAGGTTTACTTTCTTTGGGTTGCCTTATTATACTGACCTCAGTGTTTTGCCTTCAGCCAGCTCTAATGTAATGTGAATTAAGCAGATCTTTATTTGAGACAGTGCCTATACTGATGACAAGGCTTCACATTCCTCCAAAGGAACACACTAAAGATAAGATTTGTGGTTACGTTTCTACATTATCACAGGCATTTAAATTGTTTTTGCATTTGGGTGCAAGCTGGTGTGGAGGATTGCTCGTGAACGCGAATTTGCCAGATATTTGCATAGACTGATGAATTGGAATTAAGTGATGATTTAGATCTGTTGTGTATATATAAGATAAGATAAGATAAGATAAGATAAGATAACCTTTATTAGTCCCACACGTGGGAAATTTGTTTTGTCACAGCAGGAGTGAGGAGCAGTTTAAGTAACTCTAAAACAAAGCTTGAAAGGCCTTTTAGAATTTAAGGTTTGAGTTTAGGTTTAAAGCCAAACCTGGAGTTAGGAATATATTTGGGAATTTTGAGGTTTGTGTAAGTTTTTTCAGAATACATTATGTCAGTGAAGGTCTAAAATTGAGTGTGTGTGGTGGTGTTTGTGTGTGCATGTCGTTCTGTGTAGCTCTTTCTGTGTTTGAGTCAGCTGAGACCTTGCCATAGAATTTTCTCATTCAGACTCTCTGGCAGTGGGAATGTTGCACAACTGTGCCACACGAAAATCAAAGGTAGCCCACAGAACTTTTTGTGGTTTATTTCCAGGTTGCCACATAAACTACTTTTAACTGAAGACCAGTGTTTCTCAGTCAGCTTGTTATGATGTCCAGAATAAGTATGAAGCAATAAGTAGTTAGGTGAAGCACATGCTCACACACTTTGACTATCTTGTTGTTGGAAAGTTGAAGTAGGGAGGTGCTCGTGTATCATTAAATCCAAGTTTATCATATGTTGGTCCTGCACTTTTACCCAAATAGCATTAAAATTGTAATCAGATTTTAGATTATAGTTTGGGGAAAGCACTTTATTAAGTTAAAGGACAAATCGCAGTATTGTGACTGAAACAGCTACAAATAATGATTGTTAAGTCTTTGTACATGTTAACTACTTATGTGTTTGCTATTCTTACATTATCGATGCAAACGTGCCAAGCTTTATAAACAAATTATAAAGATAAATCAGTTTTTGGATTCTCCTTGGTCCTCCTGCAGTAGATGTGACTGAGAGTGTTGTCAAGTGATTGGAGGAAGAAGAAAGTGACAATGATTGTGACGGCAGTGTGTTACCTGTCCTGGATTTTTAAAAATGTTGTATTATTGCATCCGGTTACAGGATGTATAATAGCTAAATGATCAAAGAACATTTGTTTACATGCTCCCTGAGCGAAATATTAAACCTCAGCCAACTCCAGATGAGCTCCCTTGTGTGCAAAATTACAAACACTGTACTTTAGGGGTGACTTGATGACTTTCCCTCCTGCACTGCTTCCCAGCTTTCAGGCTTAAATACTTTTTTTTAAAAAGTTCCCCCAAAAAACCTTTGATTAAATTATATGTCTTAATAATTAACGAAAGTAGACAAAAGTAAATAGGAATAAACAGACTAGTTTTCTACAATTAAATTTCAGTTAGACAATCAGTCAGCTGCTACTAAAGTTGGGTTTAATGTGAATGGTAACTGAAATAGTTTATCCAGCTCATGTCCCGCAAATATTGATTTTGTTGGGCTGCATGTTTGTGTCTGTGAGACAGTCACAGGACGGAGTCACTGAAGATAGTTAGTGTTGGAGCTCATGCATAAAACTCAAATATGCCTTTTTCGTAGATCTCAAGTAACATGAAGATACTGCCAATGTTTTAAGTGCAACACTAAGAAATGTTTTAAATGTGGTTGTTGCTGCAGGGCAAAGCTGAAAGCAAAAGAAAATCATGCTGGTGCCAAATCATGCAGATGTTAAAATAATTACTGCTGCCAGTGTTATGTTGTAATATGCATTAAAAAAAGACACATGCCTGTCTCAATGAGTTTCTAATTACAGGCAGTGTCCCTTTGCCCTGGTGTGTTTTATGCTTTATGTTTGTAATTTATATTGACACATATTTTTCACGAGTGCCTCATTTATCATAGATTGCATGAGTTTTGTTTTCACTTGAAAGTATAGCTGTCAGCACCAGCGAAGACTAAAAGTGAAATAGGAAAATGAAAACTTTAATAAATATATCAGCCTGTATTAATTGTTACTGATTACTCACATGTTGATGTTCTTTTTATTTTCACATTGTTAAAAAGGAATTAACGAATAAAGATTGTGCCACAAGATAATTTGGAATATTTTATTTTTTTTAGAATATGGCAGCCACGTATTTTCCACTAATTTACACTAAATTCATGCTAGTGCAAAATGATGATACAGTATGATAACTGTTTGATAATTATATAGTCATGGAAATCTGAAGGATTATTTTCAGTTCTCAGGACCCTTAAACATTATAAGACAACAGAATTATGCATTAAAAACTACTTCCTGCTTTTACTGATTTGGAAACTGCACATGTATGTGGTTAACTGTTTCTGTGTGTCTTGATTAAGTTTAGATCAGGAGCTTATATTTTCAGTATAGCCCTTATTATGCGAGTGGCATAATGCACCATTTGTTATAAGATATGTAACAGGCGCAAGGGCATCATTAGTCATTGTGTTTTAAACTAAAACAGTAATTAAGTCTCATAGACTGTTGTGTGTTTTTATTTTATTGTATTTTTAATTTAGTTTATCTGCACTTACGACTTCCTTGGATCAGGTTATTCAGTCTTGTTGGTGTTAATGTTTAAATGTGCTGGATCACATACACATTACTTTTCATCTGTTATGTAGCAAACACATCTAGTATCATATTGTTGGGACATAAGTTTGAATACTTGTTCGTTTCTCTTACGATTCATGCTTCCTGTTTCAGACTCAGACTTCGAGGCCTTCACAACCTAACCTGATTGGCTCACGCTGCTCTGTGCCCTTGCCCTGCCCTGAGGTAAAGAACCAGTGTGAATCTGAGGCACCCATTCCTTCTCCTGCCCCCTAAACTCCAAGTAGATGAGATCAGATGATGCCTACTTGCATATCTGATTAAGTATAACCTGTCCTTGTACATCTATTCTTACAGGTCAAAGATTATATCCCACGATGCACTTTTCTATCTCTGCCCACCATGGCTCCTACCTGCTGAATGACACTTATAAGATATATGTATTTAATATGTTTGTGTCTCTGAGTGCATGTGTGTATGTAGCTCATTGTGGAACAAAAGACTGAAAACTCTAAGGAGGTACAGTAGTTACAATCATCTCTTCATCAAATCATCATGTTTCTAATAAATATGAAAACAGTGCACAAAGCAAAAAGAAAGTTCTTGTAAAACACATGAAGCAGAGAAAATAAAGATTTTCCTGCTGACTTTTTTTTCTCAGTTTGTGGTAGCGTCTTTGTGGCAAGATTAAGGCTGTCTAACAGTTAAGATAAAACCATAAAGTTGAGGTAAAAAGTTGTAATACGTTTATCTTTAACTCGTGTTTGTTGTTATAAGATAAAAACCCTTTAACCCATAGAAGATATATAAAATTTAGATGTAGCTTAGGGTCAAAAAAGTAAAGTGCAACACAAACTGCATTCTTTGTAATTGCCAGGAGGGAGTGACACCTCTGGTTTAATAGAAAAATGTCCAATTGTATTGATGTCTTTGGAAAAATGATCATACTGCTCCTATAATTTGCGACCATAGTAAGAACTTTTCTAATGATCTGAATTCCTAGTTTCAAGTGTTAATGGTGTCTGTTGATGTTAAAAAAGGGATAAAGCAGGCTGCTATACTGTAGGGTGGTAGGGTGGGCCCTTGGTTTCTCACTCAGATCACTCTAGCTCATCACATCTTGTTTCCAAAAGCCAAGTTAGCGAGTCAAGATGCTCAAGGCTTCATTATGGTGCTTGATGATGGATTATATCACAGTGGCTATCTTGCAGTCATGGTAGAATCAGCAATCCAGAAAACAGAGAACACTGAAGGCATTAGAGTTTGTTTTCTGCTGCATCACATCACAAATTTATTTAGGTCAAGTCAAAAATACATTTTTATAGATATTTTCTGTCGGTCTGCTACATGAAATAAACACAATCATCAGAATGAATTATTTACACGAATCACAAGGTCGTACACTGAGTAAGACAATAGAAGAACGCAAAGTTGCTTTGTGTGCAGAAAGGGAGACGGCGAGAAGGTAGTTCATGGTCAAGTCGAACATCCATTACGAAACGACCAGCGCTGAAAGCAAACGATCATGTTTTCAAGGCAAAAAAGACACGCCTCAGAAATAAAAACACACTTGACAAAAGAATACAGTATTCAAATGGACACGAATAACAACACATTCAAAGTTACATCGGAGAACAACCACACCATGTTTAACTGGGATGGCAGCCATAAATATTTGATACGTTTTGACAAGGGGTTCAACAGTATTATAACTTTGGTCCAATTTATATGTTCACCAGAGCAGCCAATACAAACCCTGTGTTGGTCATAAATTCCTTTTATGTTGGCTGATCATTTGAGGTAATAATGTCCAGTAACAATTTAATCAGATGAGTGTAAGATAACTATTTTGTCTGACAGCATGACCAAGCTTATCCCATATTCATCTGGATTCACACAGGCACCAAGGTTTTCTGTTAAATTCCCGACTGATAACCGAGTCCATGTGTAATTAGAAACTTAGGATACTAATAGAAAAATTGAATCTTGCTCTAATTGGAAAGAACTTTGATTCTCTTTGCTTTTGCTTCCTGGAAAAAAAAATCCTCAAAATAAAATTTGATTCCAAAATGTTTTAAACACCCAGACAATGAGTCAGCAGGGAAAAAAGCAAGAGCAATAATAGCTCCACTGTGGCCAAGCAGATTTTTATGTACAGTAATGATCATACATGACTGAATCATACAAGTGTGTCCACTGGAGCGTGTATTCTTTTGTGTCTGCATGTCATTGTACCCATCAGCAGCTGCATCTCACTGTGGCAGGGCTTTCAAAATGGCATTCACCTCCTCAGCTACCGCCGTCAGGGCAAACTCAAACTGGTCCTAATTAAGAAGAGCAGGGAAGTGAGGCATTTGGGTAATGATGCACAATCTGAAGACTAGAAAAAATATACTGAAAAAAATATGCACACAAACAATGGACGGTATGTACCTTGGTGCGGACTAGGCCAGGTCTCTGGTCTCTGATGTGCTCCAGTGTGGCTGCAATGTCGATCTCCTTCACTCCTAATGTCATCAAGAATAGTAGCAGCATCACTAATAGTTTT